AAGAAAAAACAATTGTTCTCGGTGGATGCTAGCCATGTTGCTCATTGTTCAAATATGTGTTGACGACAAAGAATGTATTGCCAAAACGTGATTTAACACTTTCTAGCGCTGATTATAGAATACTGTGTTCTATGTGTAACCTCTGATAAGCTCATTTGCTTCAGCAGTCGCAAAAATCTGTAGGCAGGTAATTCTGCGTGTATCACAGATGGTTTTATTGCTATCAGCATTTGTATTGAACAACTTCAACCAATCAAAAATTACAATTTTTCAAACTATCTCCCAATTTGACAACTTCGATCTAGAAACCCCCGATGAATTTGCAGACTATGAACCATTCCCTTCATTGTTTCTCAACCCAGCCCCTTAACATTCTCAAAACCACCCTTTCAACCCATCCACTCCCAAATGCAATGAAATGAACGAAACTAAAATGGCGCTAACTTGACATGAAATTGTTTGGCAGATTGGTGAGGATTGCTCATTATCTCTGTAATTTGTTTTTGGTAGAATTGCAGTAGTTCATGTCGGTTGCGAAACTTATTACGCGGTGTTGATGATTTTCTGTCGAGGCATGCTGCTTATTAGCTGCAAACAAGGATGAAAATGGAGAATCCTTAAAACAACTTGTCAACAATATTTTTGTGATGAAGTAGATGATTCCGGCATCAATTTGAAAAACCAGAGTCATTTGAGGCATCAGTTGCTTTGAAGAACGAGAATGAAAATATTTGTAATCACTCAAAACATTCAGACTGTTCAGAACAAAAACTCAAAACGTCAGAAGTCAGAAGCAGATTTTATGCGCATGCGGCATCTCCTGTTTACTTGCAAGAATATTGTTGTGTTCAGAAGCTGATATTGCAATTGGTTTGAGTTTTGAGTGCTGTTCTGGCCTAAGTCCATTTGTTTTGAAATTTTTCTGCCTACATCTTTGGAATCTGCCTTTTGTATTAGGGTTTGCCTTTAATTTTGATCAAAATCTTATGACTGCTTAGTAAGGCTTTGGTTTTCGTTTTGCGCAAAATCGTTAACAAAGTCGGAATCTCAAGCTGGTCACTGAAGGTTTGGGTGTATTGTGTGTTCAAACAGATTATCTGGGGCGTTAAAAGCGAACTTTGATTTCTTTATATTATTTGGGTCATTAGGGCTTTTGGCAACGGTTGTTTGAGAAACAATTGGTCTGATGTGATGTGGGTTGAAGCATTTGACCTTCAAGCATTTGAGTATAAAGTGCGCTGCATGAGGTTTGTTAGTTTTTACAAGAAGGGCAATGCTTACAAGAAGGGCACTGTTGTGAAGGGAACTGCCTAGGGACACTGCTTGTTTTGACTGTAACTTTATTTTCCATTTGGCGTTGAAGGATCAGAGCTGGTTGAGAAGCTTTTCGTTTGATTTGCAAGCTTTTCTAGCCGGTTTTGTAATTGTTGAGCGTCTATTTCTTTTTTTTCTTTCAAAGGAGGTATTCAATCCGTTGAGGAAACCAAATTAGACAAGTTTTATTAAAGTAGAACAATTCAAATCATCCCTGAAACTCATTTTTCAAAGGTTTTGTACCATTTTTTAAAAGGAGGCAAAAAGAAAAAACAATTGTTCTCGGTGGATGCTAGCCATGTTGCTCATTGTTCAAATATGTGTTGACGACAAAGAATGTATTGCCAAAACGTGATTTAACACTTTCTAGCGCTGATTATAGAATACTGTGTTCCATGTGTAACCTCTGATAAGCTCATTTGCTTCAGCAGTCGCAAAAATCTGTAGGCAGGTAATTCTGCGTGTATCACAGATGGTTTTATTGCTATCAGCATTTGCATTGAACAACTTCAACCAATCAAAAATTACAATTTTTCAAACTATCTCCCAATTTGACAACTTCGATCTAGAAACCCCCGATGAATTTGCAGACTATGAACCATTCCCTTCATTGTTTCTCAACCCAGCCCCTTAACATTCTCAAAACCACCCTTTCAACCCATCCACTCCCAAACACAATGAAATGAACGAAACTAAAATGGCGCTAACTTGACATGAAATTGTTTGGCAGATTGGTGAGGATTGCTCATTATCTCTGTAATTTGTTTTTGGTAGAATTGCAGTAGTTCATGTCGGTTGCGAAACTTATTACGCGGTGTTGATGATTTTCTGTCGAGGCATGCTGCTTATTAGCTGCAAACAAGGATGAAAATGGAGAATCCTTAGTACAACTTGTCAACAATATTTTTGTGATGAAGTAGATGATTCCGGCATCAATTTGAAAAACCAGAGTCATTTGAGGCATCAGTTGCCTTGAAGGTTGCGTCGGTATTAGTACGGCTGTTTGGTACGGAAACGTCGAGTGTGCTTGCGCCAATCGATCTCAAGCTGTTAATTTTGCTGTTTTCGATGACTTTGCAATAATTAGGTTTAAAGTGGTATTCTTTGAAACTTGATGTAGAAAACCACTATCATTGATGTGGTTTGGAGAAACCTTTCAACTTTTGATAATTGTCAATCAGAAATGCGATTCGGCCAAAAGGCTTCAGTTGTTCTGATGGGTATTTTTTTTTCTTTGGGGAGTTTGAACTAGACCAGAAGATGTTGCCATGGTTATAAAAAATTGAGAAAATTTCACAAATCTCTTGCTGAGGTTTCGTTGATGCTTGTAGAACCATCAATTTTTATAAACTTTCAATTGTTCGCCAGCTTTTTTCGCGAGCTAATTCAGTTAGGGATTTAAGGTAGTTCAGTTGCATTGGATGATGATATTGAGAAAATTGTGCTTGTGGAAAATTTTAGGAGTTCGCTGTGAGATGGTTTCCGAGACCAAGTTTGTCTGTAGGCTGCTCGTGTAATCCCACTTGCATAATGTGTGAGGTTGCGTAATAGTGAATGTAAAAGATGGGTTTTATAACTCTGCTGTTTAGACTCTGATGCTTGCTGCTCTTCGATTGAGATTGGGCTGCTCTTCGATTTAGACTACCGTTTTGATTTTTTTTTGTCGTCAATCTCGATTGTTATATCAGTACTCTGCTGTGTTTCTGTGTTTCTTCTGATTCTATGTTTCTTCTCTGGAAGTCTTGGATGTGAAGCGCACCGTTTTGTAGCTGTGTCGTTATCATTTGTGTCAATTTGTTGCTGCAAGTCGCGTACTGCGATGTATGTAGCTATTGACATGACAAACTTGATTTGTTCGGGTAATCCGTTGTCCAGTTGATTGAGTTCCTGCAATCTCGATTCGCCAAAGAAATCCTTGCTCAGTTGAGTTTACTGAACTCCTGAGAAGCTAGTTCTTTGAACAAGAAGTTGACCCAATCCCAACTGTCGAAGGAGTATCCGCAACGATTCCATTTTTTGTTATTTTGTACCGTATGCTTCGTAGCGCTATATTGTATCACTGCACTAAATTACTGTATCATATCGCTATTTTGTAGAGTTTACCCAAATTACCGGTCAAAATTACTTGTAAAAAGTTCTTAGAAAAGGGATTGTTTTCTTTCTTTACCCTTGTGTACATTCTGTTTAACAGTTCGAAAGTTGACGAGATCGGTTTTTTCTCGCCAAAATTTGATATTGTTTTCTCAATTTACATCAAAAACATCACTCCAAGAGTCAACTTTCTTAGTTGTGGTTTGTTTCAAGAGTGATTAGATCAGAGATATTTAAAAAAGGCTAGATTTCAGTGATTCTTAATTTAAAAAGATTGGGGAAAACGTTGTTGCTTCGGCATCACGCGGAAAGAAGTTGTTCATCAGATGTTCAAAAAAAGTTTTCACTGAGAAAAGTTCGCATCTAAATAAATCCAAAGCGAACCAAAACGTGGCACACGCCGAAAAAATAGTTGTGTTGTCGCCATTTGAAACAATTCTTGCTTTCGACGGAATAAGTACTGTGGCTTTTGGACACAGGCATACTAAGAAAAATAAGCTTCTAGAAGCCAATGCGGAAGAAATTAAAAAAGCATATTCACAGCTTGCAAACACGCATACCTATAGCAGCGATACAGACGAAAGCGACAGTCACATGAGCCTGAACTGCTGGCTCTAGATTGGGGACTTCTTCAAGGGCTCCAGGAAAAAAGCGTTACTGGCAGCTCTCGCTATCATCCCTCATTAACAATATCTTCACTCTAACCGAAGCGTTATCTTTGGCAAGATTTTAAGATGGGTTAAATATACAATGAGAGGGTAAACTACAGTTTATAAAAATTAGTTCCCCTATTAAGTATGGAAGTTAGGTACGAAAAAGGAGAGAAAATTTCAAGCGAGTATCTTAGTTTCCAATTGCTCAAAAAGATCAAAAATTAAACCATTTTGTACTGGGAACATTAGACTAATGCAACAGAGAAAAGATTGACCCTTTCTTAAAACTATTCATAATAAAACCACAATAACCCTCTGATCTTAGTCGATGTTCACGTCGCAAAAATTGGGATCATAAAACAATGATTTACATAAATTTTCAAATTATGTCGGGTTTCCTGAGGTGGGGGTTGTTTCATTTTTGGAGGAGTATCCAAGAAAAAAACTTTTAGAAGAAGTTTTTTTTAAACAAATCTCAGAATTTCTCCTGTAGGACTTCTGTTTCTCCTAATCATGGGGCCACCGCTCTTCATAATAACATCCTCCGTAAGACAAACATCGTAATCTAAATTTATTGCGTTGATTTTTAGTTGAATGCCTTTGCTTTACTAAGTCTATTCCAATCTTCACTTCTCACTAATCTAAGTATAGTCAAAAATCATAATGTAGCCAAATTATTTTTATTTGACAAATTATTAAAACAACAGCAGTATCGCCCTGGGCGAGTTAAAAGTATCAAGCTTCCAAGTGATTTTGATCTTTTCGAGAAGAAGAAAAGCTTATAGATAGAGTTGATAGAGTGATAGACTTATTTCAAGTTTTATCTAACGGCAGATAATGTTCTCGAGCTGTTTTTATCAAAGTTTAGATGTCCTTCTCAAAATTTTGAGAGTCCCTTTTGAAATTTTCAGGAAACAATTATTTTTTTAAAAATTCGAGTACCTGAATCAGGACAAAGAAGGGAGTAGCGCGAATAGTTTTGTCACCATTCACTATATTATGAATGAATGAAGACTGCAGATTGGTTGAGATATTTGCGGAATAAAATGGCAGAAGTAGAATCAAACAAAGATTCAATATCAAAAATGTCATTGTTTGCTTCAGTTTTGCCTGACCTTTTTCGAGTAGCATTAGGTGAAGTTTCACAGCAACATGAGACCAATAAACTCGAGAAACTCAACATGCAAATAAAAATTAAATGCCAAGTCATTATATCGAACAAACAAAAAGCCTAAGGAATCGGCAATTGATCATTGTCCGTCTTCCTATGCATTTTGGCTCTTCAGTATATTGACTTGCCATATAATCATTGTTTGCATGTTGAGTCTCTCAAGGTTGATTTGTCTCGTCATATCTTTGTGATACTTCAATCTAGTAGTTGAGATAATCATAATACATCACATTGTTAGTCACGCCGCTTGAAACGAATTTGGTTGGATCAAATAAATTTTGTAATTTTTTTCTCTGTCGAAAAGTCGAAACAGTCAAAGCATGCCCGCATCCAAGTTTAGGAGTAAATAATCGATTATAACGGGTTTTTATCATATTTTTTGACGATTATAATTAGGTGTTAAAAGGATTCATAATTGATTATAATCGTGATATTTTCCAAGAGTTTTTCATCTCTTATGATCGGTTATAATTGATTATATTTCTTACAAAAACCCTTAAAATCAATTACAATCGATTATAATTGATTATAATCTCTTATTTTGCCAAAATTTTGTCAATTCAAAACTATATTAGAATTATGTTTTATGGGTTTTTATTTTTGGGTCAATGAAAAATCTCTAAAAGAGAGATCTCTTGAGTACTTTGGTTCATCTGAACACAAAGTATTACCACGAAACAAAAATTTCATAGATAACCTTTCATATGAGTGGAAAAGTTCCCGCGGTAGATGAAAATCAAATCTTTCGAATCAATCATGAAACTAAATCAATTAGCTGAAGTTTTGGTTTTTTAAAAAAGCTTAAAATAGGCATCACAAAACAACTCTAACGGGGAATAAATGAAAAAAAAAATATGTGATTTTGAAATAATCGGAAAACTTTTAAAATAATTTTCTCATTTTTCATAGGAACCAACGTCTACAAAAGCATAAAATATAAGTAATTTAGATGCAACATCGAAGACAAATTGGACAAACAAAAGGGTTATAATCAATTATAATCGATTATAGTTTTATCAAAAAAAAACGACGAAAAAATAATCGAACATAATCTATTATATTGGATTATAAATAATTATAATTTGATTTTAAAAAGAGAGATTATAATCGATTAATAATCGATTGGAATCGATTTTTTCTCAATTTCAGTATATAATCAATTTTTAACGCTTGAAACTGGATGGGGTACCAAATTGAAACATGTTTGAAACAGATATACTAGAAAATTGAAACATATCTATGCGGTGTCGAACAAATAAATTTTTAAAATGTCGGTCGAAACAGTCGAGAAAGTCGAATTATATCAAGTTTTGGTCGAGAAAGTCAAAACATACCGATTTTTGGCCATGTCAAATTCGACTCATGAAACGACCACCTTGACTTGGAAAGCTATGCTTTCTGAATCTCCTACTGATGATGATAATTGCAGATATAACCAATATGTAACAAAAAAAAGCCTTTAACATTGATCAACTCGGAGTATGAAGTCAAGAGACAAAAAAGGTAATGTCAACAGATGAATTGGCAAGTACTTTATCCAGTATTTTTTTTATTGTTTTCTCCAATATTTTAATCCCGTTTTTTCTTCTTTAGAAACAGGGATGATCTAATATTCGAAAACCCATAAAACCACGGGCGGATTTTTTGTTGCTCATAACTCCCCGTAAACTGAGGAAATTGTAAACTCAACTGAAAACTAATCAATGCCATACCAAACTTTGTATTTTGTGAGCTGTAGCCAAATGGATTCCACAACAAGGGCGCGCCTTTTGGTCTTTTTTTTGATACTTTGTTATCTTTAGTCATTCCGACGAAACCGTAACATGTTTAAAGACTTGTCTCTGGATTCCAGAGACCTACAAACACCAAATTGTGCCTCTGTTTAGTGCAAATGTTAGCCTCGTAATCTTGTGTGGCCAACAACATTTTTTTTGTCATTAATTGAAACAGAAAATACTGATATAGAAATAACTTTGAATAACTTTGATTTTTTCATCAAGTGAAAGGTTTTGAAAATTGACAAAAAAATTTCAACTTGGGACTTATTTTGTTTTCAATGTTTTTTCGCGCAGTAAAATTTTATAGGTAGGCATGCGCATGATCCTTTAATGTCTGACGAAATTAATTGGAATTCATCCGAGCCAAACTGGGCTAAATTTTGACAATTGTGTTTCACATGCGTACGTAGCTCAAACGAGAATCCGTATACGAACACTGTCCTTCATTTGAGCTCAATAGAGGCTCTGTGTGCTTTAGATATCATAAAAATTAGGAACTGACTCAACTTTAGGCCAGCGCCGTGTGTTTTCTGAAAAGACTAAGCATCATTATTGTTGATTGTTTATTTTAAGCTTTCCACAACACTATTTGGCCATTGTTTTTATGTGATTTTTTTTCCATTTGATTGTATTGAGCAAGCTCTTACGGATAGCGAAGGTTTTGTTGAATCAAAAAACAAAAAGATTCTGAAAGGTTTATAAAAGTAATTTTTGATCGGACCAATGAAAATGGAGAGAAATTTTGTATTAAGGTGTGTTTTTATTTTTTTTCTTTTTTTTTCTATTTGTTCTTCATGCCAAATTGGCTAGCTCACATAGTCATCGGATTGGGCTGAGTCATACATCAGAATAAAGCCTTCGTCGTTATTCGACTGCATTAAAATGTTCATTACTTGTTTCTGATGCTGAGGAAAACTGGTTTGGAATGTTAAATTTTTCGTTTTAATTAAAGCGAATAAATAAGCTTGCAGTAGCTTACTTATATGCTCAAGAGCTTACACTATTTTCATCATTACAATTTTTTCATCATTCAATGAACTACAAAAAAAATGAAAAAATATTCGAAAAAATTGAAATATTTTTGTTGTTGATTCTTTGTTATTTAGTCAGTTTTTCACAAAAAAAGTTTTCCATTTTGCGGATTTTATTAAGACTATTAAAAACGCCTAGGTTTTTTTTAGGGATCTTAAAATTACTCCACGCCAAAGAAACGACCCTAATTTTAAAAAATATTTTTGCTGTATTTTTTTAAGACGATGGTCGTAACATTTTGAGCTAATTGCACAATAACCGGCTATCCTTGTTTAGCTTTTGTTTACTGCAAGGAATATAGTCTTAGAGTTCGAAGAAAGAAGGAATGTTCATGTTGGGTTTTTTTTATTCAGACCAAATGTCCAAAAAAAGTATCTCTCGTGGGATTGATCCTTTGATCTTCGTTATCCCAGATAGGTCGCCCTTACAGACTATACAATCCTGACCTACCGATTACTGTGAAACTAGTTTAATGAATATTTTCGCGTGGTAATTAAACCCGCATCTCGAAACTGATGTGAGGCAAGCTAATTGGTCTTCTAAAATTAACTCACGATTTTAAGGAATTCGCCACGTATTTCATCAGCGTTAAATTTATCACTTTAAAAAACTCGTTAAGCTTCATTAAAGCTTTGACTTGATACGAGAAGTCTTTTTACTTTTTGTTGCGACTTTCGAAGAAAGTGACAGAGTATTTCTGCTGGGGATGTTTTTTTTCTCCAGATAATTTTTGAATTTTCTATTTAACTTTTTTGACCAATTTTTTTAAACATAATTCGAAAAAAGTGTTTCCTGAGCTCAAGCGCAAAAAAAATCTTTGACCTGTGATATTTTTTATGACAAGTTTTTGTTGATTTGATGTCAATTTGGAATAATTGGCTCGCAATAAATTTGGTACTATTGCACTATTTTCAAATTGTTTGAGCTGCTTAAAAAACTTTGGATAAGCCAGCTTTGAATATAAACAGTTTGAATCAAACTGCTGATCAGTAGTGCGGTCTACTCTCAAGGACCTTATGTTTCATAGTCGTCATCAAATTGAAAAGAACAGAATCTCCTTTGGTCGAAAACGCAAAAACGTTTTTGGAAATAGAAAATATAATTGAAATAGTCGAACTTACTGCTGATAGTGATTAGTGAATTAGTGATCAATGTCAAACCGACTTCTCTTCAATTGAGCTGACCAATCCCACCCAAACCAGTAATGGCTTCAGCCGAGCACTTAGGAATGTTTGTTTTTCTATTATCAGTTGTCTTCTCTATGACCCCATTAACGTTTATGGCTTGTGTATCGATTGCTATGTTCACTGCTCGAATTGAAAAGAGTCGTATTGAAACAAGGCTATTTTTTTTACCAATGTACCAATTTACCAAATTTTACCAATGTACCAACATATGACGAGTCGATGGAACAAGTCTCGTTGATATCGTCACCTATCACTCTCAGACGAGGGTATGTTTTACGAGACAAAACAGTCCATAATATTATGATTGAGATCACGGAACTTCAATTTTTTTTGGTGACATTTGCGGAGAAAGTGACATTCGTCATAAAGTAATCAGCTTTTTTTAAAGAATGATTGGTCCGACTTTTTTCTCAATGCGTATAACGCTTGGTATTGAACTGTTTAAAAAAATTAAATAGCAAAGACTGAGTTTACAGATCGTTAAAATTCGATAATTAGGTATTCGCTAGTTCTTTTTCTGTAAATCTGGTCAATGTTTGTCTCGAATTCCGTCAGCGGTGAGGAACTATGTCTTTGGGTGCGTTTCGCATTTTTTACAATTTTTACTTGCAGTATCAACTGCCACAAACTATTATCATACAAAATACAAAACAATAGTTGGTTTAGAAGAGACAATTCGATTTTTTTGAGTTTTCAATCCGATTTCGAGTGAGTAACGAGAGCGAGCTTTTAGTTGTGTTTTTTATTTCAGCAAAAACTTTATACCCAGGATTTTTTTTTCAAAAACGTAATTGGCAATCACTTTAGACAAGTTGACCAAGTAATAGTTTCTTTGGTAATCGGTTGTTCTAAATTCAAAAAAAAATATTTCTGCGAACTATGGTCGAAACTCAATTTTCACAAGGCACGATTTGCGATCGATCTGTGAATGTGCTCAGCAAAAGTTACTCTTGTT